TTTTTTATTGTGTTAGTTTTTATTTTTTTTTTGGTTTTTTATTTTTTTTTTTTTTGTTTTTTATGTAGGTTGTGGTTGCGTATGGTTGATGGGAGGGGTGGGGTGGGGGGGGGGGGGTGTAGACATAGACCTGGGGTGGTGAGGTTTGGATGTAGACACTTTTTTGCAGGGTACATTTTTAATAATGTCTGAGTTGGTTAAAAAATCATTGGCCCACTTTTAGTCATAAATAATGTACAGTCCCTTAAAGAGCCCTGTAACTTAAGCAAAAATTTTAGTTATTAATTTTTCATTTTCTCATTTCAGTAATGTTGGAATGTTAACAGTGGAGAAAGGCCCAGGGAAAGGCCTTGACCAAATAGTAAGCTCACTAGTTAAAGCTGGAGAGAATTTTCAAGTCTTGTCAAACAAGAAGCTTAAGGAAAAATTTCCTGAACTAAGCTTCTCACCACATTATTCTGCAGTTCTGGAAACATCGGCAGGAGTTTTAAAAGCTGATAAATGCTTAAGAGTATTACAGGTAGGTGAAAAGGTGTTTGAAGGGCTTATAATATTGAAGATATTTCACCACTTGGAGGTTGTGTGGGAGAGTAGGTCAAGATGGTTGTCAAAGTGCTTTGTAGGACTGTTTTGGGGGATGCATTCTCAACATGGTGGTAAATTCCCACATTGCACTTTGACAACCATCTTGACCCAGTCTCTCTCACAACCTCAAAGTGGTGAATAAAGTGAGCATTACAGAGTTATTCTATTATTAATAATTGCAAAAATGCTCAAACTCACGTTCATGAGATGATACATATTTTTCTTTCATGCTGTTTTTATAATTGCTTATTTTGGCATTAAAGGAGTAAGATGAATGACACTTTTCAATATAACTTTTTTGCCTATTGAAGATTCTATGTAAGCCTAGCGAAAGGATATTGAAACTTGCTTGTAAGTAGATTTTTATTTCTGAAGAAATAAGACTGTGTGACATCCTTGTTCCCTTTGCCCCGCGCCAGGGATGGATCTGACTAAGGCTTTGTGGAATGGAGTACTTCTTCTCTTTATCCGAGATCATTGCTCCAGTCCAAAACTCGTCCCCAGGGTCTCTCTCTGGGGGACAAGTAGGAGAGGACACTGGGAATGAGGTTGGCTCCAGTCCCCTAATGCCAAATGGTTTGTTCCAGTTGTGACACACTTGTTGTGTTTCACCTACAGCGGTAACAGCTTACAGCTATAATAGATTGTTTTCTTTGTAGCTATAGGCTATGTAATGTATGGTACTGTAAAGTGTTATTGTACCAGTAACACCATGTTTTATTATATCAGTGGATTCTGTAAATTATTTCTTAAGGAGCAATTTCTTGAATTTGGTGGAACACTAAAAGATGGTGAGACTGTAGCTGAAGTTTGGCCTGGAGAAACAGTTACTATTAAAACCAACAATAACTTGTTTACAGCGAAAAAAGTGATAATTACAGCAGGTAAGCAAAGCATCAGGTGACATATAGACAAAGTGTAATTTTAGACAGTGGGCTAAATTATATTTTTTTATGACAATGGTAGTTTTTTTTTTCTACAGTCAGTGACAAAATTGTTGAAACACTGTACTCAAATAGTGTAACTTCAGAGAACAAAAGAATCCACACCCCTCCCCTGTCCCAAAGTTGGGGTGTTTTTTGTATTTTCTATAGGTAGCTCAAACAGCGGCGCAACATTGCATGGAGGGGATGGGGGAGGAAAAGCTATATTCTCTCCTTTTGAAGTCAAGAAAATGTCAAAAAGCCCCTTTAGGGCAAAGTGTCTAAACTCATTTCGTTGCTGATTGTAGCTTTTTATTCTCTTGTGGCCTTTTCTTTTGATTGCAAGCTGTTCCTTTTCTCTGTCAAAATTAGCAACAAACATATATGTGTGTGTGTGTTTTTTTCAATTTATATGTTGAACCTTTTTGTTGCTAAAGTTGTGGCAGCGAGCCCAAATTTTAATTAGTTATAACTAGCATAGAAAAAATTCACCAGTCCAATGAGCAGAAGTTTTCACCTTGAACAACCTCATTGTCTTTATTGATATATTTTTCTACCTGCAGGTCCATGGACCAATAAGCTTCTAAAACCTTTAGGAATTACACTACCACTCAGGGTAATTTATTATGATGATTTCATTAATAGTTAATCAGTTTATTTATTTGTTTATTAGCAGTTGTATTTAGTGTTATTTTGATTTACTGCACTTAAATTTTTTTAATATCCCTTGAATTTAGTTTAATGGTAAAATGCAAGGTGCATTTTATTAAAAAAATCAGCCAGTTTAAAAGTGATATATGATCCTGTTGATGTAAGATTTCTCAAAAAAGCATCAGGTCTTCTGATAGGGGGTGTCCAGACCCCCCAGACCCTCCCCCTGGATCCACCCATGTTATCTAACACTGTAAGTGACAAATGTATTTTGTGCATGCTGTATATGTTTGTTTAGCCTGTGTGGCAGCTGCCAGTTTATTTTTTGGTTAGGTTATATATAGTGCACAAGGTGAACATGAAAGGGCCTCCTCCTTATTTTTCACCTGGTGTAATTGCACGTGTCCTCAAAGTTTCTCTCTTGGCGCAGAACTTTAAATACACATGCTATTGTTTGTTTTCACATTTCCCATAAGGTACCTTATTTGCCCCCCAAAATTTAATTGCAAAACCTTCGTTTTTCATTTCTCCTGGGTATAACAGCCGTCCCAAGAGAAATTAAAAACAATGCTTACCGTAAATGATCAATTAAGCGCCATGGCACTTATTTCATTTTCCCTGTCATAGGCGGAACTAACGAATGAAATGAAACTATTATATGAACCCAGTTTCAAGGATTTCCAACTTGATAAAACTCATGAGTTAGTCAAGGTCTTATTTCTCCAAGAGATGGTTTTGATATCTTTTTATATCAAGTGCTTTAACAAAGGTGGGGCGTTTATTTGTAAATACCCAAATTAGAGCCATGCGCTTATTCGAGAGCAGCGCTTACTTATTAAATTCTTTTTGGTAAAGGTGCGGCACTTATTTGAGAGCGGAGTTTATTCGAGTAGCAGTGCTTAATCGATCATTTTTGGTATGCAAAATTTAAGGGGGCAAATAAGGTGCATTATGGGAAATGTGGAAGTGGCGTATAGGTCCAGTTGCTGATGCAGTGCAGTTCTTCTTGAGGATAATGATTATTTTTTTTTCTTATTTCTATTTTCTAGCCACAATTAGCTGTAGTTGTGTACTGGAAGACTAAAGAGCCTGGTAAATACAGTCTGAAGAGTAGGTTTCCCAACTTCTATGACTGTTCAGCTTCTGATGGTCGCAAATTATATGGGATTCCATCTTCTGAGTATCCTAATATGTTCAAGGTGAGAGTCCTTCAATAACCAGGTTGCAAAATTAATTTTCTCTACTGTTTGGGGGCCCTATTATAGTGAGAGTTTACTTTAGTTAATTGTGTGTAATGTAACTGCTTTCCACATTCAGGAGTCCACAAGATGATAGTTAACTGGAAAAATAATCAGGGCTAGCCGTTTGACTGGACGGTTTCAGTTTGCCTGTTTTCAGCTGTTTCAGTCAACACACGACCTGCGTTGTCCAAAACATTTCAGGATTTTGGGTTTTTGTTCCACGTCAATCAAACTGTTACCATGGCATCCAATCCATACTTGTCAAATAAAGGTACTAATAACGAGCGGAAGCTGCAAAAATAAAATTGATGTTGGCGGGAATGTAGCAATTCATTTTCACCCACTCATATCTGTGTATCTTCTGGATTTGGAAGATCTACAGGAAAAATTTCTCCTTGGAAATCTAAAATTGCCGTGTTTCAGTAAGCAAGTAAAAAAAACTTGTGAGCCAGATAAAAAAGTGAAAACATGCGAACTCTGAAGTTCAAAAGCAACGAGCCTTGAAACACAAAAACACACAAAATGGATGGAAATCCACTAATCACAAACAATGACCTTTTGAACCCATTGTAGTAAACTTCTGTTTTCTAAGAGGTCCGTAAGAAGGCATGGAGCCTTTCGATTTTGGTTGACATCACAGAAAAATGCAAAATCTTAAGAAGTTTTAGACATCGCAGGTCGTGTGTTATCCGAAACAGCTGTAACAGAATATGTTGTAACGGGAGGCGCATTGATGTTTAGTGGGCAACACATCACCTTTTGGATCTCTAGTTCCCGTTTCAAGCCTTGCTATGGTATTGTTTCCTTAGAACGTAGGTGTATAAATGGGTACTGGTGGTGTGCCACTGGGGTAAAACCTTCAGTGGACCATCATCCTATCCAGGGGGGTGTGGCAATACTCCTAACCACCTTATACAACAGAAACTGGTATAAGCTCTGGCCTGATGAGCTATTTGACTTGTATTCAGCTTAGTCTCTCTTCACCTAGGGGTACTGGGGACATACATGTACTGTTGGGGGTAACCCTACAATTGACTTTCATCCCATGTAGGGGGGAGTAACAATACTCCTAGTCACTTAATTTTATGGAAACGGGAATAAACTCTGGCCTGAATCTGATCGGCCACTTGGCTTGTATGCAGGCTTTACCTCGGGGTAAGCCTCTAATGGGATAGCATGACCCATCCAGCTGGAGTAGCAATAGTCCTAGTTGTGTAACCCTTTAGTTCATAATTTCCCCTTGTAGTATCAAGGCATGGTCACACAAGATAAATTTGCTTGATATTCAAACAATTACTCCCCTAACCTGCTAGCAAGCTTTCCCTGTATGACAAGCATAACGAGCCGCAAAACAACCCGCGAGCGAGTAGCAAAGCCGCGAGGAGCGGAGGGCAGAATGCTCCTAGACTGCGAGCAGTCTCTCTTTTTCTTCAGGTAATGCACGCGCGCGCGAGCGTTGAGCGGCGAAGCCGCGAGACACGAGAAACGAGGGCGGCGCCTTCAGTCACGCGCGTGGTCATTTGCGTGTCTCGGGCGTTTTGTTCGATGGACCAAGAAAAAAGAGAGACTGCTCTTAGTCTAGAATGCTCCAGTTTATGCACAATTCCCGCCCCTCGCACTGGCGTCCCCTTTGGCGTGCTGCTCTCGCGTAACTTCTTGCAATTTTCCCAAATGGAGAGCTTGCTCGCAGGCTACTACTCCCCAGTACTTCTACAACAAATGTATTGGGGCAGCATTAAATTTTAAAGACTTAACTAATGGCGGGATAATCTCAGGGCACCTAACGAGAACATGGTTCAAAACTTCTTAAAAATAGTATTGTTAAACGTATTTTAGCATTTAAATGGTATATATAGGCATCTTTTTATCCCCTAAAAATTTTTCATCTGTTCGGATTTCTTAGCTGAAAATCTAGTGATCCGAAAATTATAGGGATCAAAACTTACCTTTTCAAAAATTTCAGCCAGAAAAAAGGCTCCTGAAAATTCTAGGTGACCTTTTTGGGGTTAAAATCCGTTAAAAATGGGCAATTATACCATTTTTTAGATGTTCGAAAATGCTAGGAGAGGCACGCAAGTAAGAAATTTTACAACAAATGTTCCGAAAATTCTAGATCTCAGATCGTTTTCCGAACAGATATTTTCCGAAAATTGACGTTGGGTGCCCCTGATAATCCCAGGCCGTACAAGCTTCATTTGCCTGAAGAGCGCCTTCACCTTTTCCTTAATTTTATTTGCAGTTTGGATGCACCGGTTTATGTACAATTCCTGACTTGTGCAAAGAGATTGACCCAGATGCACGGGATAATGATAGAGCACTTGTTGAGATGCACATACAGAGAATAAGAGGATATGTTCAGGATCATCTTCCACATCTAGATTATCGACAGCCAGCAATTGTGGAGACTTGTATTTACACAGTAGGTGTTTTTATTTGGCTGACTCCGTGTCAAAGAATAGGGCTTTTAACTTAACAAACTGACCTTATCATCATATCATCACCATAGAGCAGGGGCACCCAATGAGAACATGGTTCAAAACTACTTAAAAATGGCATTGTTTAACGTATTTTAGTATTTAAATGGTAGATATAGGCATATTTTTATCCCCTAAAATTTCCTCGCTGAAAATCTAGTGATCCGAAAATTATAGGGATCAAAACTTACCTTTACAAAAATTTCAGCCAGAAAAGAGGCTCCCGAAAATTCTAGGTGACCTTTTTAGGGTAAAAATCCGTTAAAAATGGGCAATTATACCATTTTTTAGATGTTCGAAAATCCTAGGAGAGGCAACCAAGTAAGAAATTTTACAACAAATGTTCCGAAAAATTCTAGATCTCAAATCGTCTTCCGAACAGATATTTTCCGAAAATTGACGTTGGGTGCCCCTGATAAGTAGATTGAACTAAACCATGCAGGTGTACGTCGATCAAAGAAGTAATTTGTGACGGTGTCTGGGGCCGTACATAACCGAGTTATTTCCAGGTAACTCTTTAAATTAACTGATTTGGAAAACGCGAATGCGGACCGTTTATTTAAGGTCTTAACCAATGTTTAATCGGGTTATGTAAAGTAGGCAAAAAACAATAGATTTTCTTAAACGGGATAGATTCTTGTAAACTATCGTGATCGTAATCGTCATCTTCAACTCATTATCATCATCATCATCATCATCTTTATCTTCTTCGTCGCCGTCGCCGTTGTCGTCATGATCATTAGAGAACTGAAGCAACGACGACGAAAAAGTGATTTGCGTCTTTTTAAACGTTATCGCGTTTATTTGTAAACGCTCAGTTCGTCAAATATAGGCGATTTTTCCTGGAATGGAATGATTAAGGTCTTTATCCAGGTTCATAAAGAAAAAGGAAAATTCGTCGTCGTTTGTTCAGTTCCTGTATAAAAACGTTGCATTGTAGTCGTGTAGTGGACGTCAAAGTAACGTACTAAAAGCGCTGTTGTTTGGCTCATGAACCAATTGTCTTTTCTGTTGTTGTTGTCGTCATCGCCACCATTTTCATCCATTCTCTAACATGTCATCTTTTCCACCCGCCCTCGTCTTCTGTCGCAACGCGGAAAAACTCTTCGTTCATTTTATTTGTTTGTATTGTGCTCAAGACAAACAAATACAATTCTGTGCATATTTCATAAAAGATGTCTGTTTCTTTTTCAATCCAGCTCACCCCAGATGGGAACTATGTGTTAGATAAACATCCAAAGTTTTCAAATGTTGTCGTCGGTGCTGGCTTTTCTGGTGAGTGTTTTTGATGTAAACATGCTCACAATATTAAAGACAGTTTTCTATGCATTATTTCAGTTCCTTTTTTCAAAGGTCTCATTTGCAAGTAAAAAAGTACGTTTTCAAAGAAAACGTTAACCTCTTTTAGACTTGACTCAGAATGACGGGATCTTTTGAGGAAACGTCAGATTGCCTCTTGTTTAACTCATCCCAAGGAATAGAAGTGAATCTGTGCGGGAAATTCGTAAACAGTCAAACCCCGCTCTANATGCTCACAATATTAAAGACAGTTTTCTATGCATTATTTCAGTTCCTTTTTTCAAAGGTCTCATTTGCAAGTAAAAAAGTACGTTTTCAAAGAAAACGTTAACCTCTTTTAGACTTGACTCAGAATGACGGGATCTTTTGAGGAAACGTCAGATTGCCTCTTGTTTAACTCATCCCAAGGAATAGAAGTGAATCTGTGCGGGAAATTCGTAAACAGTCAAACCCCGCTCTACGGAAACCCGCTTAATTATTACGGACAGTTTCCTTTGTCCTTGGGGAAAGAAAGCCCTTACATTTTCCCTAAATTTAACCCACTTGATACAGACACCCCTTGAATAAGGACACTTTCTATGGCCCCTTTAGTGTCTCTATTAACGGGCTTTGACTGTATTATGTTGCACGTTTAACGCTTGATGTAACTTGCTTGGCTGCTACACAAAATTTCACTTTTACGTGAAATACTGGATAACATAAGGCAATTGGTTCCCCAAATACTTATCCGCTGGATAGCGTTTTCCAACGTTTGAATAGTCAGGGCAAGATGACTAGGAAGAACAGGAAGATCACGTGACTAAGAGACCGAAAGCTTGTAAAAAAAGTGTCAGCCTCCTTTCTAGGGTTATTCTTCTTTTTGTCTCTGCCTCGCCCCAAGGCCGGACGGGAAGAAGAGAGTACCTGGGTACGACGTTAGTGAAGTGGAAAAACGTAATCATTACAGGCACAAATATAAATTTAAAGCATTCCCGTTAACATAGGCACCAACTCAAGGCTTGGGGTATAACAGCCATTTGTATGAATTAGTCTCCACATGCCTCGACCTCATTTCATTACGTGTTTTTTACTGGAGTGGAATCATTAGCCTCGATTTCCGTCACTCTCTAGCTCCTCCCCAAGTCTGTTCGAGGAAAGAGCGCGGGCTCATTTTCCGAACAGCGGCTGGTAATCGAGCTAATGAAATCATGAGAAAGTCTAGTTGAAATAAAAGCGTCAAAACGTAATTTAAACTGAAGTTTCACTCCTTTGTATTCACAGCTCATGGATTTAAGCTCGGACCAGTCAGTGGAAAGATTCTTGCACAGTTGGCCATGGGTGAAACACCAGCATACGATTTGTCGCCCTTCAGGATATCAAGATTTAAAACGTCACTTGGTCAGAAAGCTTCGCTTTAAAAGGACCAACCTGCTATGTGTACATAAAGATTCCTCAAAGAAAGACAAATCGAAATGATTATTTTACAAGACAGACTTGACATGTATTTAAGTAAATTTCGTACACAGAGGATTTGGCAACCTCGTTCCCAGGTTCTCTGTCCTACTTTCTCTCTCTCGCTCCGTAGGGACGGGTAGCCTAGGAGAGAACCCTGGGAACCAGGTTAAGGATTAGGGCCATCGGTCAGATGAAGGGGTCGGGACTTTGATTCTAATTATCAGTAAGAATGCATACACGGTTTTAGATACAAACAGTGAAACCGGAGGCACAAGATCTGCATCGGTATTTCTCCATCAAACTATGTCTCACAGTAGATAGAAAATAACGTTGTGAAAAAAAAATAGATTAGAGGAAGACATTCTAGAAAGTTAATTCGTTAGTCCTTTTAATCGAGCGTACTAGAATCTTCAAATTAATGCAAGTAGGCCGTTGCTAATTTCCAAACAAACTCGCTTTCAAAATGAAGCCAAATGTGGAACCTTTCGTGTTTAAATAAGTTTAGGTTACAGGAGATTACACTATCAAAGACTTCGCACTTAACCTCGTTTTGAAAAAGAGGCAAAGGGTATGACCTATCTATGAAATTAAACGATGTAAAAAATGCATTGCGTTATTGATGTGTAATTTGTTTGTGTTTTGCCCACAAGCCGGTCGTTCCTTATAGTTGCCGAACTAAGGCGCGCGTCTTAAGCGCCAATCAAGGGCTGCCATCCTTCACTCTATCCAGCGTTCCCGCTCGAAGTCTTCCAGGTGGCCTCTTTCTATTAGCCCCCCTCAATAACTAATGAGACAAGATCACCATTCCGTAGGGTGTATGTAGCCAGACTTTCTGTCTTCTGTAGATAACAGATGTGATGGCACTCTTCTCACTGACTCGACCGGCTTTATGCCTCGCTTTATCAATCTGTGCATCCTTCAACTGATTCACGGTATAACACAGTTTTGAAGAATGTGCGGACAGTGAAAAGCGATCTTGACAAAGCCTATTTGAGAAAGCTTACATTTGTTACTCTCTATCAGAAGTTCGTGTGAAATATAATTATACAAGATAGAAACTTTATCAGATCTATGAAGTTTATGAATTGCAATTATAAATATGGGACAAAAATTCTACCTAGAAAGTGATGACATTAAATGTACTTATTTTAAAGTGCGACGCTGACATTTAAAAACGGTTTCTTTAAATGACACACCGATGATGATCCACTGTCTACTGTAACCCCACAACTTACATATATGTAAAAGTTTTGATGGGGGTGAGTCTACTCCCGTTATTGCGGACACCCTCGGGGGAAGATTTAGTGTCCGTAATAGCGGGGTACGAGAGAAAAAAATTGTTTTTTCTTTCAATGTATGAAGTAATATGTAAAAGTCCCAGAAGCATTGAGTTTCTACAATTCTTTACTTCTTTTACTAAAATATGGACCATAGAACCAAAGCTCAAAGATAGAGAGCAAAATGGGTAAAAAAGACAATTCACCATGGAAAGGCCTGAACCGCATTGCATGACATTGTTATTTCGATTTACATTTCAAGTGGAATCGTTTTTCCCCAATTTTAGCCTTTTTCTCTTCATTCTATCTGTCCGCCGCAACGTTTCAAGTGGTACCACGCAATGCCACGCAGCTTGCGATGTGTTTGGGGATCCTGTGCTCGGAATCTAAAGACATGTGGTCAGCGGAGAACTTCATCAGTGTATAAAATCCAAGATGGCGGACAAAACACGACGTTGCGTGCAGTCTTGACAAAATATGCCAGGAGCGAGGCACTTACGCGGCACTGTCGCTTCACGGTAATGTTTTATGGGTTTTAAATGTTTTCAGAGAATATTTCAAGGGCGAAGTTCTGGGCTTATGTCTTTTGACTTAACGATGCACATGTATGTTTTGTTAGGCAGCTACATGTAACTCAGACCATCGTTGCTGCATGTTCTGTTTAAATTATATCCTAGGCTTTCTCGGTGTTATGTACTTGAATTAGTATGGAAACGTGGTAGAACAAATTTTTGTTTTATTTTATAACAAAGAAAGCAGTGCAAAATTGCACACTACATGAAAAACAATAAAAAAAACTAATTTAGTCAAGTAATTTTTATCAAGCGCAGGGAGTAAGGATAAGGCAAGACTAACTCTGTTTGAACATTCTGAATTATCTAGAAACCTAAAAAAGGCTGTAAACAGAGTTCATACGGAGTCTTGAATTCTTGAAAAAGTCTTGAAATTTGCCCAGCAATTTTCCAGACCCGGAAAAAAGTCTGGAAAATAGAGATATACCATTACGTTCTGAAAGTAATGACCCCCCAAAAGAAGTAAACCTCCAAAAGTAGCTATGAAAATGCACAGGTGTTAGTAAATCCCGAAAGTATTGATTTCTGAAAACTAGTTTCCCTTTTGGAAAAATTTATGGATATGATAGATATAAAAAGGTATGCCAAACTTATCTGAGGTTTGTTTTTAATGATTGTAAATGATTTTTGACGTTCCCACATACAGTTTGTTTTAAAAAGTATTCCTTTCTCTTCTGAATACCCGTTGCATGCATAATAGGGATGATGTATTTAAACCTTTTTATCTAGTAGAAACCGCCCATGTGGAGTACACATTTAAGCTGCCCAAAAGAAGTGACCCCCTGAAAGAAGCGACCCTCTGAAAGTAGCAATAGGGAAAGGCTGCTAAATCCAAAAGTAATGAGGGTCGTTACTTTTGGAACTTTATTGTAAAGTCTGGAAAAGTGGTTAAAAGTCTGGAGGTTTTTTTTAAAGCTACAAGTGCTTTATAAGAGAAATGTTTCTTCATTTGGACTAATCTCATTTAACCTCGCGCGCACGTTTGCAGTGCATCATGAAGAAAGCTTTGTTCCTGTGTTTNAATAGGGATGATGTATTTAAACCTTTTTATCTAGTAGAAACCGCCCATGTGGAGTACACATTTAAGCTGCCCAAAAGAAGTGACCCCCTGAAAGAAGCGACCCTCTGAAAGTAGCAATAGGGAAAGGCTGCTAAATCCAAAAGTAATGAGGGTCGTTACTTTTGGAACTTTATTGTAAAGTCTGGAAAAGTGGTTAAAAGTCTGGAGGTTTTTTTTAAAGCTACAAGTGCTTTATAAGAGAAATGATTCTTCATTTGGACTAATCTCATTTAACCTCGCGCGCACGTTTGCAGTGCATCATGAAGAAAGCTTTGTTCCTGTGTTTTGTTAAGGTCCATATTGATTACCTATTTGATAACCTCCAGTCTGGAGAAAAAAATTGTTGTTTTGGAAAAAAGGTCTGGAAAATTTCTTGAATTTTGGATCCAATTATCTGTGTGAACCCAGTGTAGAGTAACGTTGTCAAATGTAATACAGATAATAATTATTGTAAAAGAGACAAAACTAACATATTTGTACGAATGAACGGACATATGCAGAACTTAAAAATACAACAGTAACATTGTATAAAATCGTACTTATTTGTCTAGCTAATTGGCCACAAAGCCACAATCTTTCAATCCCTCTGAAATCGTTCCAAAGCATGTCTAGCTCATCTCACAATCAATAATATAATCAACATATAATTGAGGCTGTGGTTTAAATTCCCCACCCTTATGCGTGGGGATCAAATTCCCCACCCCCTAGAAGACTGATTATCAACTTCCCTTCCCCCAAGATGGCAAAGGTCTCAAATGCCTGGGGTATGCACAGGGTATGTTGAAGCTTTGATTTGACTGATACAATAGTGCTATCCACTGGATAAATCATTTCTCCCAAAGTATGGGGAAGCCAATACCATCTACTGGATAGTGATTTATCTGGCAGTATCAACACTGCATGAACAAAGTGACCTAAAGAGAAATGTTGAGGACATGAAATGACCTACTATTATGTAGAAATAATAGTATACTTGATTACAATAAGATTCCTTAAAGTGTATGTTGATGTCCAAAAAGTTCAATTGGAGACAAAAAGGTTTTCTATCCATGGTCACCACCTGACACCCAACTGAAAAAGTTAATTTCAAGCCCGTACCTTTTCCATTCAACAAATTGCAGCCTGTTGAGGAATGTTCATCAATGAAATGTTTTCTGCTCATTCAACAAAGCTGCAACATCACCCACCATTGTTTTAGCAAAACATTTTGATCAATGTTTAACCATCANACCCCCTAGAAGACTGATTATCAAATTCCCTTCCCCCAAGATGGCAAAGGTCTCAAATGCCTGGGGTATGCACAGGGTATGTTGAAGCTTTGATTTGACTGATACAATAGTGCTATCCACTGGGTAAATCATTTCTCCCAAAGTATGGGGAAGCCAATACCATCCACCGGATAGTGATTCAGGGCTGTCATTAAGAGGCGGGGGCCGGGGATTTCCCCCGGCTACTATGAACGTCTTCCCCGGCTACTTTCAAAGGAAAATAAAAGAAAAATAGAACCGAAAGAAATTCCTAGCTGTTTGATTCCCCGCCTTCTTGTTGTATTTACCCGGCAACTTGAAATCTTAGTGACAACCCTGGTGATTTATCTGGCAATATCAACACTGCATGAACAAACGGACCTAAAGAGAAATGTTGAGGACATGAAATGACCTACTATTATGTAGAAATAATAGTAGACATGATTACAATAAGATTCCTTAAAGTATATGTAGATGTCCAAAGCATTCAATTGGAGACAAAAAGGTTTTCTATCCATGGTCACCACCTGACACCCAACTGAAAAAGTTAATTTCAAGCCCGTGCCTTTTCCATTCAACAAATTGCAGCCTGTTGAGGAATGTTCATCAATGAAATGTTTTCTGCTCATTCAACAAAGCTGCAACATCACCCACCATTGTTTTAGCAAAACATTTTGATCAATGTTTAACCATCATTATGTATCTTATGCTTAAAGGATATTCTTCACAAGTAACATTGGCTATTTGTTTTTTAATTTTTAGCGTTCGTAACCTTCTTCGTTCAGGGGCTATCAAAAAAGCATGGGAACCAGTATGGTTTCCAGTTGTGGAAGCTTTCCCCCCGTTACTGGACACCAAAGTAAACAGAAAAGCTGAAGCTGGAAGAATGGAAAAGATCATCTACCCTGAGGATAAATTTAGAAAGTAAGGATTAATTTCAGCAGATGTTTTAAAATAAAAGGAAATGGCACATTTAGGAGTCAAAATAAAATTTTAACAAATTTTGTTCCTCTGATGCACAAAGCCTACCCTGTGAGAAGAGGCCCTTCAATCTTCTAAGGAAAGTCGAGAAGATCTCCCAACCTTCAAGGAATATGTAAGGGCTTGTGCTCACTGGGTACACAAAACCAACCTCCCTGTCAGGATCAGCAGTCAAGCTATCAGAAAAATGTTCATGTATTTTCTTGGATCTACACACATTACACACATGACATTATATATGCTCTATTGGAGCAGATGCAAGGCTGGAAATCATACTGAACAGGTGCAAGCTACAACCAGTTGCAAAATGGTTGAAACACTTTGCATTAAAATTGTTTTTCCAAATTCAGTGCATCACCAAGGAAGAACTCTTGCAAGTGCAAGAGATTTGCCCCTTTCCTCCTTTCATAGTTGTCCCTGCAAGTTTCGAATACGTGTATTTCATGGAATTGTTACCACTTTAGTAATGATAACATGGGAGGAGGCAGGAATCATGTGAAGTCTGTTTTAACAACATTTTTTGGTTTAAATAGTTACAGTGTTTCAAGCTTTTTGCCAGTGGTTGTAACATAGATCCACATGATGTACATACGAAAGGCAGGAAGGAAGGAAGGCAGTTGTTACCTACTGGTAAAGTCTTCAAAGGGATTAAGGCAAGAGAGGATAAATTTATCATCAACCCCAAATTTAGTGAGAAAAAGTAGTTTTTCTTTTACTAACTCTCTTTTCCCACAAGTAGGTCTTTCTTTTGAACTGTTTTTTTCTTCATTTTCATCAGGCAATTCCATGAGCAATTTCAAACCAATCAGCCATTGTACCTATGGAAAGATACAGCTCCCTCCCACTGTGACAGGTAACTAGCAATAAACACATCCTTTCTGTCAAAATCACTTTTCAGACTTGATGTCTATTATGGTGATCCAAAGAAAGACTCAGAAGTTAGAAAATATTATATTTATATCTGATATCATCGTAATATTGCAAAAGTAATATTTATCCTGGGAGTGAATAATTCTTTATTGAATCTGCCACGGTGACCTTAATATGGTGACAGGGAAAGAAACAGGACTAACGTTTCAATTGGTAACAAACTATGGCTCAATTGTTAAGCCAAAGTGTTTTTGAAGTCATAATACCTGGGTGATTCCCTGGAGTTGGACAGTGACCTGGAGATCATTATGGAAAGGATATTTTTTTGTCATCCCAAATATTAACTACGGGTAGAAATATGTGAATCGCAGATCTTAGTAAGGCAGACATAATTGGTGACCATTATCTGAGCCCATCAAGTCCATCTACTCCTACTGGAAATTCTCCTTCAGTTTTAAGTTGTAGAAAGAGATCTCGGTGATGCACCATCTTGGGTTGTGTTTGGCAGTGTGGCCTCCTATGGGTGGTCTGATTTAGTTCATTTTGAAATTGGTAAGCTGCATTAAAACAACATTTAGCAAAACTGTATCTTAGCTAGGACAAAGGCATGATCCCAAATTTCAGCTCAGAATGCTGTATTTTGCCCTGGGGAAGGGGGGGGGGGGGGGGGAGATGTGGCTACCCAATAAAGATTCGCTTTACCCTTCAAAATACCTCTTTTGATCAAAATGGTAGCCCTTTCATATATAACTTCCATTGAATAAATGGTACCTTTTTTAACATGCCTACTTAATAAGGATAAATTGCCAAAACAGGAAGTTTTGTTCTCATTGTTTTGGTAATTTGTAACATATTAAAATGATATAGCCACAAGGTATGTTTTTTGAAACATTTTAAATTATGGCACCCTTTCATATACTTCAACTGGTGAATTCCTTACCATTTGATATACATGTACGTTAAGCCTAGAAAAAGGTACAGTGTACCCCTTTCATGTGTAGCCTCCCTGTAAAGACCATTATGGGGAGTAACCCCCTCCCCCTGGTGTATTTTGTCTTTGGAGGAGAGTTTCATTAGGATCAGATGGACTTTATTTGTGATATGTAAAAGTATGAAGAACCTTAAGGCTTTTTGGACTGACCTTGTTCTTTCCATGGAAAATAATAATTAATCTTGAAATAGTTATAGTTTGTTATTGTTTTCAGTTTTGTAGAGACCTGTATGCAGCTTGTTCATCAGGGAATGAGTGATGAGGAAGCTTTTGAAAATGCTATCAAGACACTTGAATTTGGAAAGAAAAAAGTGGCAGTGAGCATGACTGATGTATGTGTTCTTGATAAACATAAATAATATTTTAAAATCATTTGAATATGGCAGCAGATCAGGTCATTTTAGGTCAGTAGTGAACTATGCAGATTATTAATTTGTAAACCGGCGTAATTTTTTTCTGTGATAGTGATTAAGTTAGTAAGTAAGGAATTCAGGAAAGATAGATCTTTGCACAGATACCTTATTCTGGAAATTCTGACCAATCCTGCCAGTGTTACAGAAAAATTTACTGCCATTTTCACTAGTCACCTACTACTCTTACCAGAGAAAATTTCCCCTTTTTCTGGAAAGTTATCCAGCCTTAGTTGAATTAAAAAGAAAGACAATAAAGTGGCCAGAAAAGAAAAGCAAAAAGAGAGACCATGAAAGAAGGATCGAAATAGAAAAGAAGTCCACATTTTGGCTTATGCACATGTACCAAAAACAAAAATGAAGCTTGATTATTTCATCTTATTACATGATGTAGCAGGAAACTATGCAACAGTGTTAAAAATCTTATTTTTAGGCATTTTCACGCTAAATTGGGAGAAAATTGGTCCAAAAAAGAGATTTTATTACAAAGGTTTTTTTTTTCGCTACTAAAGAATAAAATTCCATATATTTCAAGGGTTACTTTTTGGTTATCATTTCTACATGTATGTTCACAGGATGACTGGGAAGGAGATGATGTCTTTGTTCACAAAGACACTGAAGCCGACTATCCTTCAGATGACAAACAACCAGAGTTGAAATAACTGACAGGCAGGCAGCTAGTAAGATTTAATTATATTTAAGAGGCCATGGAAGATCACTAGAACTGTGGCTTGGTGTTTGATTAAGGTCGAAATACAGTGTATAGTTTGCATTTGTTGAAACTGAAGTAATTAGATGTTTGAACATTTTCTAATCATCACTACAAGGAAAGGATTAGAAAATGCCAGATTTGTGCCATTTCATCAGAACTTCCCAAACTTGGGACCAACCATCAGTTATTTGTGTTTGGCCAGAGGACAACATTTGTATGATGTGTGATTGAATTTAATGTCATAACCCCAGTGATTTGCCATAACCGGCATTTCATCGTGGCAAACTAGTTGCAGGTGATTTAAAGGTCATCCCTTGAGGAGAAATGAACAGTTTAGTTATTACTTTATAAAAAATCCATTTTAAACCTGCAAAAATTAACGCTGATCAGTCATGAATCAACTGTGTGGAGTATTAAATGCTTATTATCGGTCATTACACCATTTTCATGGAAAACTTTGCTTATATACATGTCTACACTTGAAGTGTTTTTTAGAGGCAATACCTATGACTTTTCAGCGGTCACTCCCTTGTAAGCAGTCACTTGCCAAATTCCCAGAAATAGTTTCCCTCAATTACTGTTAAACGCATCAACAATAGATGGGTGTGGGAAAGGTGCCTGGTGAAAAAGAAGGGGGCCGCAAACGAGTTTAGAAGGACAAACATGTGAGCGGCACCCTCCAGGCACCGTCACAATGAAAACCTCAGTGGAAAAAGATGCAGATACTTAGCAAGAAAAACATCTCAGAAGATTCATCAGGAAACGGAATAGATATTTTAAAATAAAAAACAGAACGAACAACCCAAGAGATATCAACCATTACAAATCTCTCCAGCGAGAAGTACAAAGGAGGGTCAGGCAAAGTTATTGGAGTTATGTTGAGGATATTTTAGAAGCAAGAGATGCTGAAAATAACCCCCCTACTACTAAACGCTTTTGGTCTCTTATCAAACATGCACGTAGCGACAAATCAGGAATTTCTTCACTAATGTCCGGGGTGTGACATAATAATAGATTCGACTACCAAAGCCAAGTTACTTAATGATCAGTTTCAGAGGGCCTTCTATAAGAGTGTACCAATGAAACTTAAACATATTGCTGAGCAAGCAACCAATGCACAAGTATCTGGGGGCTGATACCCTCGTATGCCACCAAACATCACTGTTGAGGGTGTTCAAAAGTTATTGGACAAGTTAAATCCCTATAAGGCACCTGGCCCAGGAACCTACAGCCCCGAAGCCAGATTGCTCCAGTCTCCTGCAACATATTCAAGGTTTCCCTTACAACAGGTACTGTTCCTGATGACTGGAAGTTAGCAAATGTAACTCCAATACACAAAAAAGAGTTTAGACAACTACCTGAAAATTAGCGACCGGTTTCCTTTACATGTGTATGCTGCAAATTGATGGAGCACAATCTGGTCTCACATATTAGAAAGCATTTGGATCTCCACGGTATTTTAAATTGTTCTCAGCATGGCTTCAGGCGAGCACGAGCATGTGAAACTCAATTACCTTTATAGATGACCTCGCGAAAGAAATGCAGAGAGAGGCTAAACGGGTGTCATTGTTATGGACTTAAGCAAGGCATTTGACAAGGTCTCTCACAATGGCTTGCTATACAAGTTATTAAAGTGTGGCATTGATGACAATACATTTGCACGACCACGACGTGAAAATGCCTAATTTCGCATTTTATGGAGAACGTAAACAAGGAACGACGAAATTTTATTTCTTGGATATGAATTCAACTTCAGGAGGGTTCGCCTACATTTGACAAAGTAAGTGGGTAGGAATAATCGCGATAAAAACTGAAAGAACGCAAATTCACTTTTTAAGCGACGTTCTCGTTGCCGTCTCGTCGTTGGATCTTAAATTCCCTACTGTCACTGTCTGGGAGCGATTGCCGGCAATTACAAGATGATCTTCACAGCTTGGAAAAATGGGAATCTGACTGGCGTATGGAATTTAATCCAAGCAAGTCCAACGTTATATGGGTAACACGCAGACGCACGCTTTTCAAATTTCAGTACAAACTTCAGGGCAAGGTCCTAGAAGCTGTTGATACTACTAAATATTTAGAGATCTACCTCTCTCATGACTTACGCTGGAATGATCATGTAAATGAAATTACCACCAAACCAAACAAAACTCTGAACTTTCTACGCCGCAATCTTGGCACTTGTTTGGCCAAATCCAAAGAACGAGCATACAGAGCGCCTGTGACACCGATTGTTAAATACAGTGCCACTGTCTGGGACCCTAAGAACATACAACAGGTCGAAATGATTCAACGCCGACCAGTTCGCCGGGTAGTCGGGGGCTACGACAGATTAGACAGTGTCACTGATATGATATCTTCTCTCAAATGGAGATCTCTTGAGCTCAGGCGATCTGACGCACGTCTCTGTATGCTGTACAAATAGAGTAATGGATTAGCCAGGGCGGATAAAGGTTGGGCGGTGAAACGAGCGCATCCGAGCAAAAAGGTGTGATGCAGTGGACTGGGACTCTGCTTAGAACTGTCGCTTGTTTTCGACTTCGGGGGTTTACGATGTGGTTCGTCCATTAGACACTGCTGCTGTCACTGAATAATGGCGGCTTGAGTTGTTTTCTTGCACTTCTTCCTCGTTTCTTTGTGCTGGTACGCTGTCTCCGAGAGGCAAATGTTGCTATTTTTTGCGGGGTGTTTAATTGGAGTTAATTGGAGTAGACAAACATCTCTTTCAAAGGGTTTCTCTCATTACTTCCATGACTCTACCAGTGAATTATATTTTCGTTCTACTACTCGCCAATGTCGATGTTATTCCAAAACAAAAACAACTAAGTACTGTCTAAAACACGAAGAAAAATCTCATCCATGTCATCCATGGCA